CCCCAAAACCCCAAAACCCCAAAACCCCATTAGCGCGAATCCTATCTAATTTGGTTATTAATAATTAATTTAATGATTAATAAAAAATAAGTCAAGGGCCGCCTAATTCACCAATTTGCTTCTAGAACATCTGGAAGAACTAGTCGGTAGTGACTGGATAAGGATTGTAGAATTGAGCGCAGCTATTGAATAATGTTTATAGTGTTCCCTTGTCGAAGTAAAGCATTCCATAGACTAATTGAAGATTTTGGTTTTAAAACCAGGTGAACATAGTGTCCTAATAGCAAGCTATATCATTTAAGTTGCATGCTGATGATACTATCTACTCCGCCTATAGGCATAGTCTGTTTTGATTAGTTTAGAAGAAAAGATTCATGTTTTAGAGACTGTAGCAAACATGATTGTCGTTATCTGTATTTCTACAGCAAAAGACATCATAGGCTGACACTGTTGGTTGCCTTAAGCAGTACATAGGAACTGTATAGGTGTAGAAGTTGAATGTTATTGGTATCAAAAGATTCTAGGCAACTCCCGGAGCTCCCCCTTGAAGTACTTACTGTGAAGCTTATGATGGATTCAAGACTACTTGAGCAGCTTGGTTAGGTATATTAATAGCTAGCAAGAATGACTAGGTAGTGGTACCTATCCAACTGACAATTTGATCCATTCCAGCTGGTACAGGAGTAGATCCACCAGTAAAGTTAAACAGTTCTTATAGTATTCTGCGTCTGCCCTTTAAATTCCTTAAACTTGTGGTGGAGTTACTTTAAGAGAAAAATTTAACAGCTTAACCATTTACCCCGAAAAATTCGAAATACCATTAAATAAAAGGCTGATACAAACCCCGAGCTGTGAGGTTAGAAATTAGTTCTGGAACTGTAAAGTTATCATATTCAGGCAGCCAAATAGCTGTTATTTCAGTTTGATTTTAAGTTTAATTTGATGGTTAAGTTTCATTTGTAGTTTCATTACTTGTCTGATTTGCAGCAGCACCTCCTTCAGTTGTATTGGTTTAATTTGAAGCGCCTGTTGCATTGGTTTCATTAGCAGCTCCAGTTGCATTAGTTGTGTTTGCTGCTCCAGGTGCAGTTGTCTCATTCGTTGCAGTTGCATTTGTTTGATTAGCTGCTCCTGTTTCATTAGTTACAGCAGCAGTTTGATTATCAGCAGCTGCTTAGAGCATTCTTCTTATTCTTCCACCTGAGGTAGTAGTTTAGTTACTAGGCAGTACCACCACCGATGAAATGCTAGTGTTTGTAACATTGAGGAACTCCTGATAATTCTCGATCCATAGTCTATAATCAGGAATAGTCCAATTGAACAATGCAGGGTTTTATAACCACTCATTGTACCACTCTTGCCAAGGTACTGGAATGCTCAAGAATTGAGGAGGTGGCTGGGTTTATAATTATTAATCAGGAAAGTTTGTTAAGCAGTATTGGTCAACAAGTTCAATCAACTAGGTCCAATTCGCAGTATTGATGCCAACCTAATTCCAACCTATGGACATGTAGTAGAGATCTCTCTGGGTACCCTGTCTATCCTTAAGAATAAAGATTCCAAGACCATTCTCACATTTGGTGAATTCATAGCCCCTACCTGGAGAATAGTAATCGCAGCAGGTCACTTGCTAAGTGGATGGCATTTGATTTCCAGGTATAATGAGACTAGAGGTTTGTAAAGATTATTCAAGATTTCCAAATGTATAGTTCGAATTGCACTCGCCAATTGGGGGCAAAGGGTAAAAATATTCTAGCCTCTCAATGAATCTTCCGTAAATGTCGTACCTATCATAGTAGAGTATCCCGAAATCAGGCATGTATGTTGCTCGTACGCTAAATACTACAGTGCTTTGATTTTAGCTGCTGACTAGGCTTGCAAGAATGCTCAGCAAAACTATTTTAAGGACGTGCTATTTCATGTAAGAGATAATTAAACAATCAAAGTTTCTTTTTGATTACCAAAGCCCCAATTAATATCTACACTTATTATATTTTTAGTAACAGTTCTTCTTAGAGCTTCAAAATTTGATTCATGGGGTTTTGGGGTTTTGGGGTTTTGGGGT